CCCCGTTCATGCTGAGCCGCTCAACACGCGTGACAGCTTAAGACGTCTAATGTAGCGACGTGTCCAGCTATGGAATCGTCATCTTCCGGTTTCTACAGCAGATGACTGGCTACTGGAGCAGAGGAGTCCAAGAGATTTATGGGAACTGTAGTTCACTCATCTTCAAGTAAGAGAAAAAAAAGATAGGGATAATTACATTGGACTACAGCGCCCAGAATTCCTAGCGAAGAAACTTAGTGATACCGAGACGCGGAAGCTTGTTCTAAATCTAAAGCATCGATTTCTTGTAGGGGGGGTGGGGGTGGAAATCATCAGAATTTTGTAATATTATACCCAAAAGCAGAGTTTGGGGGATGATCTAGATTTAAACACTCGAAGAAAATTTTATTACCCATTTAAATCGGCATGGAAAGTGTTGGCAGATTTATATGGAAAGTGTTGGCAGATTTGGGGGAGCATTTAAAAACGCTTTGTTTTATTTATTTATTTATTTTATTTTGTCAAGCGATTATTATATAACAGGTATAAGTATAAACATGGTTATGAATACATGAAATGGATACGAATAAGAAAAAAAATCAAAAATCAACAGGGACGGTAGGCACGTTGGTGCGCTTATGCACGCCCCCTACAGACCTCTTAGGAAAGGGGTGAGGTCAATAGTAGACAGTCTAAGGTTAAAGTTTTTGGGGTTTTGGGAAGAAACCACAGAGTCAGGGAGAGTATTCCAGACATTGACCACTCTGTTGCTCAAGTCGTATTTCCTGCAATCAAGTTTAGTGCGGTTTACCTTAAGTTTGTATCTATTGTGTGCTCTTGTATGGTTGTGGTTGAAGCTGAAGTATTCATTGACAGGTAAGACATTGCAATGTATAATTTTATGTACTAAGATCGAACTGAAGGCGGCGTGGTTCTAGGTTGTCTAGGTCTAGAATTTCAAGTCTGGCATAAGGTATTCTGCAACAAGTAGAGGAGTGGAGAACTCTTCTTGTGAAATATTTCTGGACTTTCTCAATTGTATTAATATCAGATACATAATGTGGGTTCCAGACTGATGAGTGTATTCAAGTATTGGTCTAGCAAATGTTTTGTATCCTCTAGTTAGTAGAGTGATATTACCAGAGAAAAAGTTACGCAGGATTAGGTTTTCAACTCTTAATGCCTTTTTGGCTATGTAGTTACAGTGGGCTCTAGCACTTAGATTATTTGAGATGAGTACTCCAAGGTTCCTTGACAGAGTTTGGATCATCAACAAGGTCTTGACTATTCAGCTTGTATTTTATTTTCTGATTTATTTATTTTTTGCCAATATGTAAGACAGAGCATTTATTTGTTGAGATCTGAAGTTGCCATATGTTTGACCATTCTGATACATAGTCAAGGTCTTTTTGAAGGGTAGCAGTATTGTCTGTGGTGTTGAATAGCTTTACATCACCAGCGAAAAGAATGCAGTTGCTCTTAATATGATCACAGAGGTCATTTATGTAGAGTATGAATTCTGGGAGTTGAAGTCCACAAGTCTTAAAGTTGCCAAGGTTGGACACCCCTGATCTAGGGGATGTTTCTTAATAACCTACCCAGTTTCTGCTCTTCACCTCCACGACAAGACTCACAGAAGCCCCACTGCCACCTCCCTTCAAACAATCACGCCGTCCGCCAGTCTCGCAATTGTGATTTTAAAGGGACGGAGCGATGAAAGGCTCCGCGTCACTAGGAGAGCCCGGCTCACCTTCCATGCCCCGCTTTCTGCGCCGCTCGAAAGCAACTGCCGAGCAAGGACAAGGGGCGCTGAAACTCACCCACAACTAAGACGACGAACACGGCCACCGCCACCGAGATCAGGAGCCGCACCTGCGCCACGTCCTGGTCCGGCAGGGGCGCATCTTGGGGAGGGGGAAACCCCTCGCGCTGGGGCGTCACTTTTACCCCGTTCATGCTGAGCCGCTCAACACGCGTGACAGCTTAAGACGTCCAATGTAGCGTTAATCCTAGAACTCTACCTTGGGGGACACCACTGTTGACAGGTACAGGATTTGATAGGACGCTCCCAATTTTGACCATTTGTTGCCTGTTTGACAGGAATGCTTCTATCCAGTTATGCAGGTGTCCAGAGATACCATAAGATTTTAATTTTAGGAGTAGTTTGTTGTGTACCACTGAATCAAAGGCTTGTGTAAATTGTGTCAATTGCTTTGCCCTGATCAAGTTGTATAGTCCATATGTTTTTGCAGTGTAAGAGTTGCAGATTACAGGATAGTTTTTTTCTGAAACCAAATTGTTTACTAGAGAGTAGGTTGTTTGTCTCTAAGTGGAGGATAAGGGATTGGTCAATAATTGATTCCATGACTTTACAGGTGACGCAGCATAAAGAGATTGGTCTGTAATTTTCAACTAGGCTGGGGTCTCCCTTTTTGAAGATGACCATAGTGACCATAGGTTTGGCAAGGAGCTGGTCCTGAAAGATTTTTCAAAGATTATGCTTAGAGGTTCGGCTATGGCAGTGAATAGATTTTTAAAGAAGTAGGCACATGTTCTGTCCGGTCCAATAAAGAGATGGTTTTAGACTGCATAGTGCTTTTTCAACATCGTCTTCTGTAAAATCGATATGTATTAGATCATTGTAGTTGATCTATGTCCACGCGATTATGATCTTGTTCATGACTCTTGAAAAACCGGGGCAAGAATAATATTTCTGCTCCGTCAGTCATCTTGTACTCCACTGACAGAAGCTGACTGAAATGGTTATTAAATTTTGTTTCCAACACAATAATGTGAGAATGTTTTCAGAACAAATTCAGAACAAACTGTGTGGCGGAAATCCCATATTGCTACCTCTGTAATGGTAGTATGTCTATTGAAACCTGAATTTAGTAATACCTTTATTTAAATAATCAAAGTGTTCTGAAGTGGTGACTGCGGTTCTTCAGAATTGTTTATCAGACTGATTTTAAAAAAATGCTTGGTGAGAAGTGAGAGGAAAAACATGGCAAGGTTTATCTAAAATGTATTGACTACAATGTTTTTCAAATATGTCATACACTATGTAATATGCAGATATTAAAGGTAGAGTACTGATCCTACATCTTCCTTCTTTCCTTTAATTTCTTTTTATATGCAACTACTAGATGAAGAAATCTGAGGAAACCCCAAAGCTTACTCAGGGTATTATGACATCTAAACTCTTAATAAAATATTTCCCATTTTTGGATTTTCTTGGGTGAAAGCTGTTCCTGTTTAACATGCAAACAAATTTAGATTCTAATCTGAGCTTGACTCCCAAGGAAGTGGTTAGGGTTCTCTGTGCTGTCTGCTTATTCACCAGTTTATGGGATCAGGGATCCTTCTGGATTATAAAAGTGCCAGAGAGGCAATCTGCTGTTGGGGCCAGGCAATAGTGTTGACCTCACTGAAAGAGTGGGTGGTACTATTAGCAAGGCATAGCCTTAAAATCAAATGTTGTCTGTGTTTTGAACATCTACAACACGGGTGCCACACTAGATTGCATTGCATGATATATCGCGATGTTTTTGCCTTTGCGGAGCCAGGTTGGGTATGGCCTGCACATAATGCATCCAGCCCACGGGCTGCCAATTGGACACTCCTGATACAAGCTATTTCTTCCTCAGCAGCTTTTTGAAAAAGTGCTAAGGCAAGTTAAACAAGCTCTGATCTGTAACCCTGTTTATTTGATTACCTTTGGCTAACTTTCACTGATGCTTGAAATTGACAAGACATAAATTAGCCACATACTGAACACTTTTGCCTTCTAGCTGCCTTAACAAACAGCCAGCACTAGCAATGTGTACCTGTTTATTCACTTATAATCCATTTCTCTCTAATGAAAGTAAATACAAATACATGGTGTGTGCTCCCCGCATTTCTCCTCCTTTCCAATTGTCCTTATTCTCTTTTGCCTGTTCAGATACCTGGTAACATTAGTGCACTCCCCTCCTCAAAAAGCTGTCCTTGAACCGAATAGCTTTTAGCAATCTCCAACCAATCATCCCTTTTTGGGAAAGTTTGTTAATCCGATAGTGCAGCTGATGAGAACTCTGGAGGAAATGGATTATCTAGAGTAGACCCATTTCAGCCTGGGATTTACTACTTAGACAGATTTGGTCACATTTGTCAATAACCTGTGGTGTGAAGCTAGGATGGTAATGGCACATCCATCCTTGTGCTCCTTGATTGCACAGCGACTTTTGATACCATTAACCACAGTATCATTCTGAGCCAGCTCCATGGGTTGGAGATTCGGGTGTTGTTTTACAGTTCTCTTTGTTTCTCCAGAGCCAGTCCAGTCAATGTTGAGTTGGTTGACAAAGAGAGATCACACCTTATGCCCCTCGGGTAGAGCACCAAAGGGTTATTCTGTCCCCCACCTCCTTTTCAAAATCTACATGAAGGTTCTCAGTGAGGTCATCTGCCAGTTTGGAATTCAATATAATTAGTATGCTGATGATACTCAATTATATTTTGCATTGGTATACCATTGGTATGCTGTTTGAGTGAGATCATTCTGGTATGACTTCATACCAAGGTTGATATGCCGTTGGAGGGAGGTCATTCTGAATTTGCAGTTCCTGCTTGAAGAATAATTGTTCAGCTATGGCCTGGAAGGCCTTTGCACATTTCAATTTAGTGCCCCAGTTACATCTTTTCCTAAATCAAACAGACCTTTAGACAATAATTCATGCCCTATTTACCTTGCAGCCTGACTACTGCAATGTGCTCTACATAGAGCTGCTCTTGAAGATTAGCCAGAAGCTTCAACTGGTCCAGAAAGTTCTGGCATGAACAGTGATTGACATGCCCTAATATGTCGATGTAACAAGTGTGCTTTGTGAGCTGGTTGCCAGTTTGCTTCCAGGTACCAATTGAGGTGCTTGTTACTTTTAAAACTCTACATGGCATACAGCCTGGTTATTTGACTAGTAGTCTCTCACAGCACCTTCCCCAAAATTCATTTGTGCAGGGCTGGCACACTTCAGGTTCATTGTTTAAATAATGTGATCTATTGATACCCTAAAAGTATACCTTTTCTGCAGCAGTGTCTGCCCTCTGGAATTAGTTTTCCTCCAATATCTGGATGGTCTCCACTTTGGTGTTGTTTAGAAGAGTCATGAAGATAATATCAGTAGTAATAAGTGGCTTGGGTGCAATCCCAAAACATCTGGACATCACTTGAACACAATTGACAGTGATAAAATCACCATCAGCCAATTGCAAAAGTCAGTTATACTTGGAACAGCTTATATCTTGCAATGGTACTTTCAGCACTATCAAAGAGCTGCCTATACTAGATTCCTGGGAATCACTTGATAAGTGGATAAAAATAGCAAATCCAATCTAAACGTATCACTGACTATATAATGAACAATAACAATTAATAATCATAAGCGATTATTATGGTTGGTTGCATAGTCAGCAAGATGTTTAGACCAGATTTGGCATTATCCACCTACTGACTTTTTTTGAAGGACTTAGGATAAGCCACTGTTGTTTGATAGTGTTAAACGTATTGTTACAGAGTAAAAGCTGCTCCAAATAAAATTGCCTTACTGTTGTTTGTTGTGATTATTGTGTCCAATGAATTGTTTTCAGCCTTGGTAGACGATGACACAAAATGCTAATATATGAAGGCAAGCAACTAAAATAAACAATCATAATAAACAGAAATTAAACTGTAGATGTTAATTCTATTTATTTTTTTGCACTAGTGACTCTACAGAGTTACAAAGTAATAATGGAAAGTTTAACAGATTGTTGGCATTAAAGAAGAATAAAGTAAGTACAGTAGATTTTTGTCAACTTTGGGCAAGTAAGTATGTAGCATTCATTTTATTTCATTGCAAAAACTTGATATTCACCAGTCATGAGTGTGGAAGGTGCAGACCTTAAGGAGTTCTGTCACAAGAAAACAGAAAAAAAAGTAAGAATTAAGAGACAGGACTAAATACATTGTTTTACAATAGCACAGAGTGACCCACAAACTGTTTAATCTTTAGAAAATGTAGTTAGAATCTTTTGCTGTTTTCCCCTTTATTTATATCTAGAGCATGTCAGTTTGAGAAAGCCAAAGTATAACATCTCTTAAAAGTCAACTTGTGTGAAATAAAGTGGGGTGGGGGAGAGGTGAGAGCATAAAAATTATTTATCTAACTACTTGATAGCTATGTGTTTAATTCTACATTCCTCTACAAATTGTTGGGAGCATGGAAACAAAATAGTCCTACTGTATTCTGTAGATCATGAGACTGAAAAAGGTCTTCCAAAGGTGCATATTCTATTCTGCACCATTACAATATCATCACTGTAACTGTTTTAAATCATTCCTTAGTAATGTTAAGTTCTATTATTTAAAAAAGAAAAAAGAAACAGCAGCCCTGTCCCAATTGGCTTATTCTCCTTTATCTCTGAAGAACTTAACAGAAAAGTTAAAAAGTGAACAAAAGAAAGAAAACTTTATGTCACCTTTACACTAGAAACAGTTGTGATATATGTATATACCACAATGAATTAATCAACATGCCCATAGCTCTGATCTATTTTTGTACAGAACCATTTGCCATACATTTGATATTTTTCAAAATAACCTATTACAACTAATATTTAATTTTCTCTTTGTCACAAGTTATCTCATTCTTTGGATGTGCTTTACAGGATGTCAAGAAGTGGATGAATGCCATTCATCTTAATCTAAGATTGTTACCTGAAGGTAAACATTTGGTGAATCCTTCAAGAGACTGCAGATAGTCCTGCCCAAGATATGTCTCAAAGTTATTTTCATTTGGAACAGCTAAGCATTCTGTGCCATCTTTGAATAAGCTATCTTTGGCATCAGATTGGAACATATGGAAGACATCTTTCTGAGTTCCCTGGCTTCCAAATAGTTTCTGTAAAAATCAACAAAAGCAGAACTTCAGTAGCTATAATATTTAATAAATACAGTAGTTTCAAGTGAATACATAACATTTCTTGTATTTGGTACTGTTT